AGAGCATCACACACACTTTATGTTTCTGCCAGAAGCTGAGAGAAGCTGCAGGAAAACTCAGAGACCATCAGGTAGCATCCACAGCCGCTGTGTGAAGTCACTGCTGCACTGATTTAATTAGATGCTGCAGCTCATAGCAGGTTTTCTTCTGCTGGTTTGTCCACTTAGTTCTGAAATAAAACTCTCTTTTTAACCTTTAACACAATTATGTTTGTTCAAAATGTGTGAACTCTACATACAAAAAAATGGATCAAGAATTGTCATTATAGCTACGTTAGAATTCATCCAGCAGCACAGGAGCACAGAGTTTTACTTTTTTCCCTAGAAGTCAGTAATCAGATTACACAGAACTGATGTAAAATCCAGCAGCAACAACACATGCTGCAGACAAATTGGCCGGCAAGTATTATTTTCTTAGTACCGTAGTTTCATAATTTAAGAAGCGCTAATACACTTTGGCATCCCGCACAGAGAAAATGTAATTTGCAAGTAAACTGCACAGATGGCAGAATAAGCGCAGTATTCACAGCGTCAACATACCAGATTGCTTTCTGCTGGGATTGGATGTCTGGTGTCCTATTTTACAAGCACATGCTCCATCATACTGTCATTACTACCTTCAGAATATAGGTAAGCCCCGACATTATGCCAGGAAATCCCTTTAGTGGAGCGGGTGACATCTCCTGATCCGGAGCTGGTGCTGCCCCCGCCTCGCGTTGTTACCACCACAATGCATCGTATTGTACAAGCCGTCCCTGTGGATCACGCAGGCAGATGGACCGAACACAAGAAACACATTTAGCTGTAAAAATGAAAAACCTGTACGTTGGTGAAGGAGCAGCCGACGCCCATGCTCGCTGGAGGACTGGGAAGAGTTACCTGCTTTATAATCTGGGCAGTATTTCGTGACCCTGCAGGCAACTGTCAGGTCCTGGATCCTCAGTATGCCAAGCCGATCCAAGAGCCAGACATACAGGGAATTAAATTACTTTGTGAAGTTATGGAGCGAGCCGTTAATTAGCGCGCCCGTTGGCCTGGAGGACTCCGGTTTGAAGGTCAACCCAAGACCTGCTGGAATGATGATTTTAACCAGAGTTTGACAGACAGCAGATGAAAGTCGGGCTCCTGCTCACGGACACATCAGGCCAAATGAAATCACGGCACGTACGCACACTCCTCCACTCTCTACATCAACACACACACATAATGCACAGAATGTCGTATCTGCTGTTGACTCTGGTACCTACTGATCCATAAATCAGACCTCCGGAGCTGTGACCAACACTCGGCTAAACGTGTTCCTGTGATCCCAGCTTCTGCCGTCCTTCCTCAAACTCAAGCAAAGTGGAATTTTAACAGAAAGCCAGTGATGTAACGGCATATGTAAGACGTGATATTTCAGAGCAATATATTTGGATTATGCTTCTCAGCCCAAATACGAGAAAGCGCTGGAGGAAGGTTCACCAAGCTTGACTCCTCTCTCTCTCCTCAGTGCCAGTTTAAGCTGTACTATATTCAGCAAATCTACTTCCAACTTATTCTGCAGCTTCTTACAAATGCCACTGTCAGGGGAGTTGGGATTAGTCCATGACAGGCGCTCCATATTAAAC